GTTCAAGCTCACTAGTTGCTCCTTGGAAACCCTACACAGGGTTGCTATGGGTCGGAACTGACTTAACAGCACTTAACAACAACAACTGCATCTTAAATCTGATTCTAACTTTTCATAATGGTTTACAAAGCCCTATATGAAGGGGGCTTAAAAAGTATATGGAAAAATGGAATTAAAAGAAATTGGAATTTTTCCAAGAACTTTTTAAAGTCCCCTCATATAATTAATTAGGTTTTTGCCTACGCCTCCTCTCTGAACAAATCTTACATTATCCTTCTCCTCCTGAAGCAAAATGTTCCCACCAACTATCTTCTCTTCTTTAGATTTGCCATATGCATTCTTGCCTTAGCTTTTTTTGCACTGTATGAAATGCAAAATATCTAGTATCTAGTGCCTTCTTATCACTCAGGTATCAGTTTAAACTCCTGACTCAGAATGAAATTCCCTGGCCACTCATTCAAAAGCATCTTCCAGTTTTAATCATCTGCACAATACTTGCCATTATCTCATTGCTGTTGCTGTTAAGTGCCGCTGAGTCGGTTCCGACCCATAGAGACCCTGTAAAGGGTTTCTGAGGAAGCGGCTAGTGAGCTTGAACTGCCAATCTTACAGTTCAAACCGACTTTGCAGCCCAGCGCATTAACCCAGTGCCACACCAGGACTCTGTCATTATCTTATGTTATTTTAATTCTTTGCCTCGATAAAATGGAAACTGCACAAGATAAGGGAGCTCATCTAATCTCATTCATTCTTGAATTCCTATACCTAGAATGCTTGGCATAAAATAGATGCTCATTGTACATGTTGAAAGAATGAACTAATGTAAAAGATGTTTACTAAGTGTCTGCTGGGAGCGTGGTGACACTGAAGGATAAACACTGGACTGTGAACCACAAGGTCAGTGGTTTAAGCCCACCAGTTGTTCTGTGGGAGAAAGATTAGGCTTTCTGCTCCCACAGAGATTCACAGCCATGAAACCTTACACAGGGTTGCTATGAGTCAGAACCAACTTGATGGCACTCAACAACAACAAAGTGCTTACTATTACTGATCAGACGATACTGTAGTAAATCCTACCCTCATGTAAGAAATTACTCCATCTTTCAGATGAGGAAATGCAATTAAACGAGGTTTGCCTATGAGCAGAAGGCCAGTTAGCACCTTGGACTAAAACTTTATCTAATGTCTTTTCTGGTAGCATAGTGGTTTCGAATCAGGCTGCTAACCTCAAGGTCGGCAGTTCGAAATTACCAGCTGTTCTGCGGGAGAAAGATGAGGCTTTCTGCTCCTGTAAAGGTTTGCAGCCTCAGAAACCCTGTGCAGGGTCACTATGAGTCAAAACTGACTCCACAGTACTTTAACAACAACAATGTCTTTTCCAATGAAGCCATAGGTCTGTTATTACTTGCAGAATTAATCAAGAATAATGACATGAAATAGTCTGGAGGCTACTTAAAGAGTTAAACATAGAATTACCAAATGACTCAGTGAAAGACATGAAAGTAGGTGTTTTGAGACCTGTACACCAATGTTTATAGCAGCATTGTTCACAGTAAGCAAAAGGTAGAAAACAATCCAAATATTTATGAACAGAAAAACAAATAAAGTACTTGACCACTAAACAAAAGGCTGGTGGTTTGAACCCATCCAAGAGGCATGGAAGAAAGGCCTGGTTGGTGATTACTTGTGTAATATTACAGAAAGCCCTATGGAGCTCGATTTTACTTTGAAACACATGGTGTCAAAATTAGCTGAAATGCTCTTGAAAACTATGGGTTATGTACATATAATATTATTCATAAAGTGAAATAAAGTTCTGATACATTCTATGACATAAATTGTACCTGAAAAACATCATACTAAGCAAAAACAAGCCAGACACAAAAGAACTATATTATAGTGTTTTTAGATGACTCATGATGACCCCGGATGTGTAGAGTAGAATTGTTCCATATGATTTTCAAGGCTGTGACCTTTTAGAAACAGATCATTAAGCCTGTCTCCCAAAGCATCTCTGGGTGGGACTGACCTATCAACCTTTGGCCAGTAGTCTAGCACTAAACTGTTTGTGCCAGCTAGTGACTCCCATTGTGTGATGCTTCTTATATGAAATAGTTAGAATAGGCAAATGCATAGAAACAAAGTTTATCAATGGTTGCTACCAGGGGTTTAGGAAAAGGGGGAGTAGGAAGTTTATTGCTTAATGAGTAGTAGTTTCTGTTGGAAATGATGACAAGCGTTTGGAAATGAATAGCGGTGAGGACTGTACCACATGGTGAATGTAATTAATGCCACTGAACGATGACAAATTTATTATGTTTGACCACAATTAAGAAAATCAGTAAGCAGTAGGGGAAAAAGGACAAGTGTGTCCTTCTCCAAATAATTTAAATAATCATAGTTCTTCCTTATACTCCCCTTTGAGGCAGTCGCTGTCATACATAATGTGTGTTTGCGTATATATTTATAAATGGAACCAATATGCAAAATCCCTGAAAATATGTCTTTTTAAAATCCCCCATGGTGCTGAATGAATAGCAAAATATTTTTAAAATGTATTACTGAGTGTGTTATTGCTGGTCTTAGTTATAAGAAAAGTTAGGTCACATCCTCCTTATAAATACTTCTGAATCTTGTACAATTTCTATTATTGCACGTATCATGTATTTTGTGTTGACATAACTGTGTCTTCTCACACCATAAGCTCCTTGAGTGCAGGGATTATGCTGTACTTCATGTCTGTATTCTCATGTCTAGCACAAAGTCTATTCCTTCATTTAATAAATATCTGGGCACTTAGCACGCACTAGGGTCTGTTCTAAGTACTGGTTTGCCGTCTCCACCCAGAGCTCACATTCTAATGACTGGCATATAAAAGGTGGCGGTTTTATTTTAAGGGAAATGAAAATATAATTATAGCAGGTTTTCATTTTTTGATAAACTCTTAGTTTCAAATATTTGGGTGTCATGTACTTTTATTTTGGTTCTAATTTAGAAAGATTTTATTTCCATGTAAATACTGATAGTCTTTCCAAATCCTCTAAAATTCTTCTAGGAAGATTTTCTTTGATCAATTCCACTGCAATCCTTTCAGTGTTACAGCTCTTCAGTGCATACCTCTACCTGCATTATGCTCATTTACATTTATTTGTTTGTTTAGGTGACACAGTTTTGTTTCCAACTATACTGGAAACCCCATAAGAACAGAAGGTATGTCTTCTATTTATTTTTTTGGTCTTCCTTTGTGGGAATTTTGCATTTCTCACAAAATTCATTTCCAAAGATTTCACTTACCAGATTAAACTCTGATTTGTTTGGATTTACATATAATTAGAAATTAAGATCATCTTTTACTACAATAGAAAATTGCTAGAGCCTAGTCAGCATTCGATGTCTTAATTTCTCGGAAAAGCCAGGGAAGACACATTGTGTGGGAAATTCAGGAAATAAGATTGAATTAATAAAGTACCTTCTTCAATATTCTATTTTTGACTCCTATCTTTCGAATTCTGACGATTCCTATAAGCATAGAAAAACAAGAACATTCCCCCAGTCTCTGAGGTGCTCTTTCCCTTGACTACTTACCCAGTGGGTAGACACTCTTCTAGTCTCTTGTATTGGTAGCCAGAGTTAGGGTTGATTTGGCCCCCTGGGGTGCAGGCTGTAGCCTGGATAGTTAATTGATGGCAGGCACATTTGGACCTGTATAGGATAGAAGGATACAACAGCTCGGGCTGTGAGACTTTCTTTGAGGAACAAAAAGTACTAATAAAAAGATATGGATAGGAGCAGTGAAATTAAAATTTTTCTCTCTCATGTAAATAAGAAAGGACAAGTCCAAAATAATAGAGTAAGAATCAGGTACGATAAAAGAGTCAGAAAATGAAACAAAGTGGCAACTGAGAACATAATGCAGAGAAGCAAAGAAAAAGGGGTTGAATCAGACAAAGATGGAAACACAAAACACATATATCCAGGGTTACTCAGATGGGCAAGTGAAGCCTCTGCCTCTGTACCTTACAAAATTCATGGAGGCCTTGTAGCAGGGGCTCCAGGTGAGGAGAGAACTAAAAGGAGATGGAGAAATGGGAAAGCAGTGCAGATATCAGACAAAGTAAGAGGTGGAAAGAAAGGCAACCATGAGGAATCTAAAGGCAGAGACAGCAATTCCCCCACTAACTCACTTGTCCCGGCACCCGTCTTTGCAGTCACAGCCAACTAGAAATTCAGGGCCTGTGTTAATGAAAACACCCTTGCCCGGGATACGTTCTTTGCTGTAGGCCACTTGGGGTGGAGGGGTTGTGTCGATCTCATTGACACAGGATAGAGGAACATCTTCCTTCCCATAGGTAATGTCCAAAATATAGTAAAAAGGCTTATAGGGCTGAAACTTTCGGTCCACAAGAACATAGGGATCCAAACAGAACATTTCCAGGAAAAGGAAGTCGCAGCCAGTCTCAAAAAGGTAGCGTTCGATCTCTTGCATTGTCCGAAGGCAGAGACCACAGGGTGTCTTATAGATAACATGAAAGCCCATCTTGCGGTTCACTCTGCGCCGGGCTGTCATCCGACGGAAGTCATAGAGTAGTGGAACCAGCAAAGGGTTCTTGCCTCGGTACTGCTCACTCCTCATAGGTCTCACCCGAGACAGACAAGTATAGCTGCAGACATGAGGTAAGTAGAAAAGTTTCTCCATGGGGGCACGGTAGGAGGGTTCTGCTGGGGCCCTCTCTAGCATGCCAAGGAAGGCTGGAGGGGCTGGTGGTGTTAGCGGAACTGGGGGTGTTGGGACAGCAGCTGTTGAACCTAAAGGTGATCTGCAAATGATATGCAAGAGATCAGATGAAAAGGCAACAGTACCTCTCTATTGTACTATTTCTCCCCAGACAAGCCATTTTTCTCATCTTTCAAACAACTGTGGCCTTAAAACTAAAGATGACATAAGAAAGATCATTTCCTTACCCAAGGTGGACACTGAAACTCCCTGACTATCATCACTGACTGATAATACCTCTATTTCAACAGTATTATCTTTCCCTAAAATTTATTTGCTGTAAACTATGGATCTTCATTCCAGTCTTCTATCAATGCTTTCTCCCCCAATTGTGACCAATAAATGTCCTTACTAACTACCAGGATTTAAGGTTTGAGGCTGTGGTGTTTCTTTTTCATTGTACCAATGAAGACACCATGTTCAATGTGAAATTTTAATGAAAGACTTTCTGGTGATACTATACTTCTAGTCACTCTGTTTCTAATCCAGGTATTCTTACTTTCTATTTCTCAGAAACTAGTGAAGTTAAAGCTTCCTTTTCTAGTTCAAACCCCTTACTGTCATAATCTTAACTAAGACCCCTGGAACCAAAGACTTTCTCCTATGCATTGGCCACTCAGTTCACACTGCCAATCCATCCATGGAGAATTTGAGATTTTCTCACCTGTATGTCTGATTGAGCCCAGGTTTCCCAGGGGTATTTTCACTGAGAGAAGGGGATGTAGGGGAGGAATGACCAGAGCCCACAGAGCCTGGCCGGAAGGATGTGCTCTTTTTGGCTACCTGCTTCCGCGACTGGGCAAGCTGGCTTTCCAAGCTTCTAAGATAAAGGGAAAGAAATCAGATAGCAAAGGATGCAGAAATTATAACACGTAAGAAATCTGAAAAAAGGAGAAATAGCACTCACTCAGTGTCAGTTACTTGAGGAGATAGAGGTGGGGCAGGTGGAGCAGGAGGAGCAGGCAGAGCTATAGGCTGTGGGGGCTCCATTGGCTTGAACTGGGTCCCAGTACTGGTCAGATCCTGGGTATACTGGACCACAGGGCCTTTACTCCTAACAGCACCTACAGAACAGGAAATTGGACTAGTGAGAAAATGCTTTCTGGGTAGCTTGTATTCATCCACACACCTGCTTCTCAATTTATGAAATGTAATAAAGTAGCAATGGAAACATTTTTAGCAAATGCTAAGAAGGTCAGTTGCCATTATTTATACAAGTGAGTGAAAATGCTGGCATATACAATAGCAAACATTTATGCTGGGATTTCACTTATAATGAGAGTTTATCTTCCTTCCTCAGAAGAAAGAACTCAGTAACTATGTTATACGTTAGCGACTATTTAAAAAAATTCATTCTCTGAACAACTAATGTATTTAGGAAAAACATTAATGTACGACAGGAACAGAAAATAAACAATAGAACACAAAGCAGAGAATCCACATATGGATAATAGAGGCAACCAAGAACCTAAGACAGTTGTTTCAGATTTTTAAGTGGTAGTTTAGGAAAAATTAGTGCCACAGGATGTGAAGGTAGCTCCAAAAATCCATCACCGCTACTGGAAACAACTCAGAGCACACATCCCATTTCACATGAGTCAATACGGTCATCCTGGGAAACAAAGGACAGTCACTGTATAGAACTGCTTTTGTTGGTTTGGCCCCATTTCTTCCATCCCCCCAGGTGTCTGTTAAGACATACCCATGTTTGGACGTGTCCTAAGCTGTCCCCCTTGCTTCTTCTCCAACGTAGAAGCTGAGGATGTCTTCATGCTGAACATAGGCTCCAAACGTGTAGAGCCCCGGTAGATCCATTCACATCTTTTGTCATCCTGGGGGATATGGAAGAAGGGTGGGTGGAGGTGGGGGACAGGTTGAATGCTAGAACCTAGACTGTTAACTGTGGAGAATATATATAATATACATCTATATACTTCATCAGAAACTCCCCTGATGAGCCATTAACTCCTTTCTAGTCAACAAAAAAGAAGGAAAAGGTCAAATTGGATGTCAGAAGACACACTGAAACTTGCTCTCCAGTGTAGAGATGCTAAAGCAAATGGAAGAAATTAGGAGGCACAAGAGCTGAACAGAAAATTTCAAAGATCAGTTTGAGAAGATAAAGCCAAATATTACAACAAAATGTGCAAAGATCTGGAATCAGAAAACCAAAAAGGAAGAACACACTCACCACTTCTCAAGCTGGGTG